GTAGAATGAGTGGTACAAGTCTTTTGAATAGTACTCAGAGTTGAATCGCAGTCAGATTTCAAAAATGAGTACTGGTAAGCGGGAATGTAGACAATATTTGTATGCTACAAATCTGATGTCCTCAAACGCTGCGTTTGGATGATTGTACTTCAGTAGATGGATGTGAATTCCTTTCAATAATTTGAGCCTATTCATATCACATTTTGATTTGAACTTATTTACCTTTCCGTATATTTCTCCTCCTTGCTGAGGAATCCTGTGTACTCCCGATAGCAGGACTGATATTTCACCTCCATGGCTACACAATCTTTGTCCCGGATGTGATGGAAAATGTGCTCATCACTTTTGGCCTCAGCTGCTTCACAGAGCAGATCTGGAAATGACAAGTTAAAATGTTAAGAATTATTTCATCCCATCATAAGTCGCAACTAAACAGAGGACTAAGTCAATGAAGACACCACATGGATCTACAGTGTATAAGTATGTCTGCTAATAATAATATGATGCTAGCATGCAGTCATCACAGCTGTGCAATAATAGTATAGATAATTACTCTGCCTTGCTGGCAGGTCATTTATTTAGGCAATGTTTCAGTGGTCTGGATTCGTATAAGGCCTACTTGTACTGAATATAAATAAATGACCTTCCATCAATACAATGTTTCAGTGGTCGCAGAGTTACTATTGCACCTCATCAGTAAAACTAACCTGTCTCACGACGGTCTAAACCCAGCTCACGTTCCCTGTTAGTGGGTGAACAATCCAACGCTTGGTGAGTTCTGCTTCACAGTTATAGGAAGAGCCGACATCGAAGCAGACTTTCATAAAAGGCCTATTTGTATTGAATATGTAATTTTCATTTAATTTATTTCAAGCCTGCAGGTGTATACAGACAGGAAAACATTAATGCAAAGTCTGCTTGGTTTGAAAGGGGATGATATTTTATATACAAATATTGATTTATTGCATCTTTCTTTCATAATGTACTGTGATTATGATGTTAATGCTTTCTTATTTTGTCCAGCACTTTGAGTTGCCTTGTGTATGAATTGTGTGCTATACATAAACTTGCCTTGACATGATGGAAGCTTCCGCATATATACAACCACCCCCCCCAAACATTTCATTTTCACAAATTATTACAACACAGGACATTGAACATTCAACACACACACACACACACACACACCCTTTTCTATCACATAACTTTTGAAATATCTTTTGACCTGTGTCAAACTTAAACAGGGTTAAACTAGTCATCATAGTTAGTTGTAATTAGAGTAGCTAGTACAGTAGGTATATCCATCTTGGACTTAGCTGTTATTTATGTAGTTGGGTTGTAGGTAGGCCCCTCCCAACCTTGTATATCACAAGAATACCAAACAGAATCAATTGAAACTTAGTGTAGTATGTTTTGAAAACATCAACATCATAGGCTTACCTGCACTTTCAGTTTCTGCCTGGATGAGTTTGTCTTACACCCTCTTGCACTTTTTAAATGCCTTTATTAATAGAGCACAATTATTTACAAGACAACAAATGTACATTGCATGCAGTAATATATCAACGATGATAATATTTAGTGGTTTAAAATTGTAAAGTGTCCCATGGGAGGTGAGGAGAGTTGTTACGTTGCTGCTTGAGTTGTGTTTATGACTTGTTTGTATATTGTGAAACTGTCAATGAAAGTTTGTGATATTGTCATTTTTGTCCGTGTTTTCCAGATTTGTACAGTCGTTATTGCAATGATGCGTTGGAAGAGTTCTTGCTGCTGTGGGGGGAGAGTTTCTTGAAGTAGTCCGTATATGATGGATCGATAAGTGATTGAAATAGTGAGTCCAAGAGTCTGTAATCGGGTCCATACTTCCTGTGAGCGGTAACAGTGTATGAGTAGGTGGTCCAGAGTCTCGTCGTTATTGCAGTTTGGCATTGGGCATAATTTGGTTTTTACATAGCAGCTCCAGGACACGATGGCTCTCACCGGGAGTCTGTTTACGGCCATGAGCCACCGTGAGTCCCGGATGGTCTGCTCCTGGGGTTTGTTAAAAACGTTTTATGACACATTGAGATTCATTAACGTTACAATCTTTAAAAACAACAATATCACCGTACATTTTTTCACACATTTTAAAATACAACATTTTTGAAGGGAACCCATTATAATCTAAAGGGTGTTTATGGGTAAAATCACCGTAAAGAAGTTTATAATAAGGCCCTTTACGAGCGCTACCCACCCGCCTCCTCCACTGCGTCACCTCACCGACCCACGGGGCGCCGCGGGCAATCGCCAAAGAAACATTTTTAATGAAGGCTAAAGTTAATTTGGTTTCTAGGTTCACAGCTCCTAGGCCTCCCAAGGCCTTATCTTTAAAGAGTAAGTTGCGTTTGGTCACTTCTCTGGTGGTGCTCCAGATAAAGTTCACACAGGATTTGTTTAGTTTGATCATTATTTTTTTGGGGGGTGGGAAAACAGTAGCTAAAAATAATAATTTAGACAAAATACGACATTTGATAATATTTATTTTTAGTTAGCTTAGATAGCTTTTTGTTTTCCCACTTTTTAATTTCGATTTTAATCTCATCATATTTTGTATTCCAATTTCTTTCTACTGTATTATTGGAAATGAAGATGCCCAATATTTGTATATGTTCACGCGTTGTGATATTTATAGGTTTTTTTTTGTGCTCCTCACCGATCCAAACTGCCTCGGACTTACTGTGGTTGAGGATGGCCCCAGAGGATCTTTCATAGAGATTTAATATACACTTGAGTTCACTGAGTTCTGACTGTGTTTGGATGATGACTGTAACGTCATCGGCATATGCTAATGTTTTGATAATGTTGTGGGGCGTGAGTTCGATTGATGGGACTGGATTTGATGAAGGTGAGTAATGGGTTTATTGCTAAAACATAGAGTGCAGCACTGAGCGGGCAGCCCTGCTTCACTCCGCGGTGAATGTTTAAAGGTTCAGTTAAAACCCAGTTTACATTTATTTGCACACTGGTTTTAAAATATAGACATTTAATCATGTTAATAAAATCTCGTGGGGAAGCCATATTGGACAGGACAGCCCACAAATAGTCCCGAGATACAAAATCAAAAGCTTTCTTTTGGTCCAGACCAACAATATAAAAGTTCTGTTCCTCTTTATCTTTATACAGTAGTTCACGCAGCGCACACACATTATCCCACATGAGACGGCCTCTGATGGCACACGTCTGCTGTTTCTCTATGACGTCCTCTAGGACGTCATTCATGCGGTTCATTAGTATTTTTGCTAAGATTTTGTAGTCTGTGTTCATCAGAGTGAGATGTCTGTAATTATTGATGTCTTCTTTCTCACCCTTTTTATACAGGAGACACATCACTCCCTGGTAGGACTCTCCCATCTGACCTTTCTTTAAACCTTCATTAAAATACGCAGTTAATCAATCTGCGACATTAGTTATATATAATTGATAAAACTCTGTGGGCAGTCCGTCTGGACCTGGACTTTTGCCAGAGTTAAGTTGTTTTATAGCACTAAGGACTTCTTCTTCAGTGATGTCTCCGAGTACGGGGCTGACGTCAACGGGTCAACTCTAATGTCTCTATAAGAGTCTAAAAGAAGATCTCTGATCAGTTCCCTCTTTCTTTCATTCAAAATGAGATTCCCAGAGTGGTCTCTAACTGCTTCAATGCGTTTGTTTTGAATATTATCTTTGCTGGACTTTACAACTTGAGTGATGTTACACTGTCCATCGACCTGAGCACTTTTAAAAACATTAAACAAGAGCTCAGCATTAATAGCATTAATTTGAGATTTTACCTCTTTCATTCTGACCTAGTCTTCAGGGGAAGCGTCTTTACGCTGCTTTAATGTGATACATTCTTTTACTAACTCATTGTAGATACTATTTTTACATTTATTAATTTCTTTACACTTGAATTTAAAGAATTTTGCGACTCTACTTTTTAAAAGTTCCCACAGTTCAGTGTCAGATTTAGTTAATATTTTCAGCTGCGTGATGACCGCTATTTCCTTTTTTGAGTTCATTTATTAACTCTGGGTATTTGAGACAGCTAACGTTGAGCTTCCAGAACCCTTTATGTTCGACTGGACCAAAGCAGACATTAGAACAAACAATAAGGTGATCAGAGAAATCAGTCAGGATGGTTTTATATAACATTATAGCTACGTTACTGGACGTGTAGATTCGGTCTATTCTAGTTTTGACTTTGGTTTTACCAGGTTTGACTCCATAGTCATTTGGATACAGAGTTCTGAATGCATCTTTTAAATTATGGTCACTGCTGATTTTAAGTAAAGTGTTTCCTTCTTTTCTTATTTTATGACTTGTGCTCCCGATGCAGTCTTTTTCTTCAGTGAATTTGTTAAAATCCCCACATATAATAGTTGTAAAATTTCATTCAACTTCCTCAAAAGTTTACTTTTTTTGTGAAACTTGTGACGTATACACATTTATGAGTCTCATTTTTTCATTGTTAAACACACAGTCGACCATTAATAGTCTCCCTGGAATGATTTCTCTTTTCTTAATAATGTTTACGTTATTTTTACACAAAATACCAACTCCGTCTGCACTGTCCTCTCCAATAGACACAAGACAGGTCCCTTTGGTCCAGAGATCACACACATTATTCACATCATCAAACGTCTTCAGTCTCAGTTCTTGAATAAACAAAAAATCAAAATTAGTTTCTAAAAGATACTCAATTTTCTTTTGTCTATTAGCAGGCGATTGAATACCGCAGATGTTCCACGATGCAAGTTTCACAAAGGACATTAAGTGTTTTTGTTGGGAGAGGACCTTTTATCAACTTTTCTTTACCCTTCAGTTTGTTTTTATTCCTTTTCCGTTTTGTTGTAGACAGTGGTGGAATATTCACAGAAATGAACTCGGGGCTTGAAGACCCGGTCAGAGAGCTATTTGGGTTTATTTCAGAAATAGAGCTTTCACTCACACTTTGATAATGCTCCTCTAACCCGGAGACAGAGATGGGCTCACCTGAGGACCCAGAGGAGCTGGCTTCAGATGATCCATGGTCCTCGTCTGAAGGAGGAAGAGGAGGCCACAGCGCGCACTCCTCCACGGAGGCTGTCGGAGAAGGCTGGTCACAGGCGGTGGGTGACCAGCGCTGGGCAGCGTTCTGCGATGACGTGGAGGGCGGGGCAGCGGTCCGTGATGTTGTGCTGGACTGAACACCGACCTGGGTCTGTACACCTGTCCCGCTCTGCTGCTCGTGTAGCTTACCGTGAGGCTCACTGGACCCAGATTTTACACCAGGCAACAACTTGGACCGGACACTGGAGTCAGAGTGCGGCTTGGTAGGCCGAGCGCTGGGCCCCTCCGGACCAAGAGTGGGTTGGGCAGTGACCTCTGGTGGTAGCCTGGTGGGTTTGGAGGACCCAGACGGCAGCGTGGAGGACTGGGTACAGGGCTCAGCCCAGGCATTGGTGGCAGATCCAGCTTTATCGTAGTCCTTTGGCTGTGCATGCCTAGCCTTGTTGGCGTATGACGAAGGGCAAGTGAAATAAGTGTGTCCTTTCTCATTGCATAAAGTGCAAAATGCTTCACAGGTACAGTCTTTCGCCTTGTGTCCAAATTGTCCACACTTCCAGCATTTAACTGTAGGACAGTCTCGGATCTGGTGATCCGGAGACTGACATATAAAACACGTGACTGGTTGACCCGGATATATAATTCGCCCATTGTATGGTCCCAGGGAAATAGAGTTGGGTAGTTGTAAAAAATGTCCATTTAAGTCTTTTTAAGTTGTACTTTGTATTTTCGAACACCATACCAAAGTCCAAACTTATCTACGGGTTTGACTGTACTCAAGATGTTACAATATCGCTGGAGGTAGAGCTCGATGTCACCGTCAGATACCCTACCAGTCCAGAACTTAACACAATAAATACAGTGTCTACTTG